TTTATTGGATTTACTTGTCGTAGTTGATGGTAATTTGGGAGAATATTTAGATGGCGATGAAAAGGGAAACATGAAAATGCTGACATATTTTGACCCTTATAAAACTGTTTTATAATAATTGTGTTTCGTTTTTTAAATTGTAATTGTTAATTATGTGTAACGTGTAATTGTTTTATACTTTTGTTAGATTTTTTTACGTTTGAAAAATATAATGATTTTTTTATTTGGTTGGAGAAAATATGTTTTTTATGGCGTGAAATATACTACGTAAACGTACTCGTTGTCATTTTTTGGGTGTAAGCTTTTTGTGGCCTCTTCTTTGATTTAATATGTTCGTTTTTTTAAAAAGACATTGTCCCACACGCGGCTTTTCTCTTGTATCGTGGGTGCGTTTAGATACATACAAGTTCATATACACAACCACACTCAGACCCGAGACAACAATTTTTGGATCACACAAAGACTTGCTCCGTGCGGGAATCGAATGCGCTGCGCAGCTATTTCCCCAGCCACTGCGTCAACCGTGCAGTAATGATAGGCATGTCTAGATAGGTATATTGTGTCAGATATTATAGCATTCTTAGTCACGATTTTATACACTACCACGTTTTAATATAAAAGCTACTAATGCTGCCAAACCTCTGGGCACGTTTCCCAGCGACAGTGGTGCGGACGAATTCTTTGACGCCTAACTGACGGAATTTCGTTTTTTTATTCGCTGTTTTAATTATAGTTAATTTCAAGTTGTATATATTTATTCATAACTGTTAAAATTAAAAAAAAATGTAATCTGAATTTCGCGCCTTATGACGCTAACTCACGCTTGGCTATTTGTAATATTTTTCTATCTCCCACCTTTTTTCTAATGTCAATGTCTGTAAAACATCATAACGAGTACCGGTATAATAAAGATTTATTGTAATTAAACCAGTGAATACCCCTTTAATTTAACAATAACTATGTTATTAATAAACACAGTCAATGTAATAATAAAGATTAATCAAAAATATCAAAGACGTGAATGTAATTTAAACAATTGCCGACCTTAAACAACAAAACTAGCTTATAATATGATTACACAATCTCAAAATTTTACAGTTCCTAATTTTATTGAACAGTCATAACTTTTAACTAGAAAGTACCACAAAGTTTAGAGTGCCAAGTTACAGAGAATACAGTGCGTTACACAATATTGTCCACAATTTCATTTAGATGGGAGATGTAGTTAGTTGGAAGTTCCTCTTCCTGGGACGTATAAACAGTAGAACAACCGTAACGAATGCATTTGGGCCGCCTGCAGCCAACTGCTAACCGCAATCTAGCCTTGTCGTGTCTCTATCTAGCGTAGAAACGACTCAACCTGTCGGCCTAGTTGCACTATAGGGTGCAATTCCTTCAACTATTATTTGACAAAACCACGTATTGTTTTCCTTTGAGTAGACCTGAATGTAATAGAAAAGAGAGATATTGATATTAAATGAAATATTTTCGAGAATTGACCAGTTTTTTTGTGACGTCTAAATCATAAGATAACATAATATAACATCACGCGTTTTTATCTCGAACGGGTAGGCAGAGTGCACATTTCGGCACTTAAACCCACTGATCACTATTTATGTTATGAGTCCCATGTAATAGGGGGTGAGCCTATTGCCATATACCGGGCACATTTTCAGACTCCGTGCTACTACTGAGATTTTTAAAAACCCAGTAATTCTTTACCCGACCCGGCAGTCGCATTTGCGACCACTCGGCCAACGAGGCAGTCGTAAATCATACTAATAGGTATTATAAATGCGACAGTTGGTGAGTTTGTGTGATTGTGTATATGTTTGTTACTCAATCACGTCAAAACGGCTAAAGTGATCGCGTTGAAAATTGGAACAGTAATAGATTATGGTCTGGAATAATACATAGGCTACTTTATATCGGGAAAGTCCGCAAAGTCGCGGTGCAAGGCAATTAACTTATATACACACCCAAATTCAAAACATATTGCGCTCCTCAAAGAGCCATCAGACCGCCACGGATAGGGCCCAATAGGGCTGATGCCGATACGGAGTCGCGGAGGACTTAATGGGTTGCCGGAGCTCCGGCTTCGGGCAGAAGTAGGTACGGGGTGGTTTTTAGTTAGTAAACGTCTGACACTCCCGCCCGCTTCACCAAGGCGGGAGAAGGCATTCGATCGAGCCATTATCGCCCCTTAAAAAAAATGCATTACTCTTTTATTCATTCGTATGACTAGAATTCATATCATTCATCTAGAGAGATTGATCAAACACTATTGCAAACTTCATCCAAAGTACTCAGAATTCCGTTGCCCAAAAACGCGATAATATTTGCAGCTGGATTAAAATTAAAATTAATTTTGATTAATTGCCATTAAGAACCTTTTTGTTGGCATATTTCGAGGACTTCATTAATTTCCCATTAATTAACGAATGCATTGATCAATTGTTTTCCGCGTCGATTCATTTAACGTTCGTAATATGCTGTGCTTTTCTTTGTCACTGAGTAAGCAGAAAATTAAATTATATTTCATATTCATTGATTAAATTATTTTAAAAGTGATGGGAAAAAGAATCGTTACTCTCGTTTAAGTTTAAGTGCGGGGGAGCAATACTTAGGCATGAACAGTCCGACTCGACCGGAATGTTAAAACGATCTCACAAAAAATCGACGTGAAACAACGCCAGTGTTGTGTTTCGTCGTATGAGTGAGGTTACCGGAAGCCCAATTGCCCCCCCCCCCTTCCCCAATCTCCCCAATCCCTGAATTCCGCAAAATTCCAGGTGTCCATGGGCGACGCCAATTGCTTACCAGTAGGTGATCCTACAGGAAGCTCTTTTATCGGCTTATTCCATAAAAATGAGCCTGTCACAAATAGTGAGGTACTAATTGATTGCTAATTAAAAACGACTAAGTTACAGTTTAATTTAGGAAGACCTAACTTCTAACTATCGTACTACAGTACTCAGTATACTGTTTTTAATTTTCTATAACGATATTAAACTAAAACAATACACATGTACTGTCGGCAAGAAATAATAATATTGTAAAAGCCAGTTGAACCCAAAACAATGGTACATAAACTATACCTACGTCTAACGAATATTTGATCACACTGTAGACATTTGTAAACACGATTCACCTTTTTATTGGCACCTACTTTTTTCGGAATCAGAACAAGCGTTTATTTATTTACACGTGTGTAGGTACTACATTGCTGGAATGTGCGTGTGTGTGTGTAATGTAAATCTTATGAGAATTGTACCTATCGCTATACAAAAATATTGAACATTTATATTTCTTGTCTATACATTTGTATAAATAAAAATGAATTGCAATGAAGTTGTCTGCTGACCCAGTTTATTTTTCGAATTAGGTACAGCATGTGTAATTTCAAGTTTACTAATGTACCTAGCACATAATTAAGTAAAACATCGTCGAAACACCAGGATTTACATTAGGTTTTCAATATCGTTTATTTGCTGACCAGATGGCGAATATGCAGGAAGAGATATTGTTCTTCAATCACTGCAGCTGACAAATATTTAACGTCGAATGATGTGACAACTGTTACACTACATATTTTCCTAATAAAAGGAGAAAAAGAGGTGCACCTTAGGGCCATCTAGTTAGATAAAACACAGTTGCCCCAATTGGGTACTTTCCTAAATCAAAAATAAATTATTTCGACTATTCAATACAACGAAATATTACACTTTCATTAATTGATTTAATATCCAACTTAATTTGAGTATTTTACCAGCAATTTTTAAAAAAATGCCTAAGTATGCTGTTTGGCGCTAAAAAAAAGTGACGTCACAATACACAATCTCGTAAAAAATTCATAGAAAACTGTCGTTTTTGACAGTTTGAAAAAAGTAATGAATTTGACTAGTTGGCAAGGACTCAAAATTGATTGACCTTATTAATAATCATGGTGTATATCAACGATAATCTTATAGCTATACCTACTCAAGAATGGATGACAAAAATCAGATATTTATCGGCTTGATGGAACGTATGTATGTCTTCAATCGAAACATGTGTTACTAAGCGCAAAACTTCAGACCGGCTGACGACGACGAAAATTCTTAAGAAGACGAGTTAAGGACAAGATATTCGATGACATAAGATATTGAATCGTATCAAAAAGGAGTAGTTCAAACCCAAAAGTCATTAGTAACGTGTTAAGCACTAGCTTTATATACTAGCAACAGTGGTAAATGGAATAAAAAATATTCACAAAGGATTTTAAAGTCAAAGACTTCGTAAAACGAACTTTATTCTCTCGCACTAGAAACTAACACGTCATTACATGACGTTGATAATAAACGTTGATATCGAATAACACTATACCAGCAGGGTGCTTACTCTTGATACCTATCTCAAAGTCAATGCAATTGCAATCCAATAAAATCTCATATAATTATTCAATGTCAAAACTATACAACCCCTATTATAGTTGTTAAAATAGCATTCAGAGCACGGAATATAAAGCCAAACTCAATATCAATTGGTTCATTAAATACCCACGCAATACGGATGCAATGGGAGCTAGTGTTGAAACTCTAGAGTACGAAATTTCACAATATCAATGTCGATTGATTGGAATAATGGATTCAAGAGAAAGCCCAGTGGCCTTAGAATCCCATTCAAGACATTTTGCTTACCAGTTACTCTACTCATTTATTTATTTATTCGAAAGAGTACTGCCACATCAGAAACATATAGCATTTAAAATACACAAAAGTAACAAAATGATTCTGATTCCTGTAACAATAATGGCGTACGTAGCATTGGCAATTCATCGGCTTAACAATAGCTTAAAAATGGAATACAATTTGTTAATTAGAGAAAAGAAAATGGCAACGAAAACACAATACATTTTCTAACAATAACGCGACCAAAGATATAGAAACATATCATATCCTTCTATATTAATAACCCCCACTAATTCAATAATTAACTCAATTATATTTTTCTCATTACAGATATCGAGGTACCAGGGCACCATAGCATACAAAGACATTGAAAAAACTAGTTGGTACTGTTAGCAATGATGTCAAGTTTGAACGAGTGCAGTGATTGTGTCAGTGACAGTGTCTAGGGGTGGACACATGATGTGAACAGACAGTCGGCACAATGTGGGCGGCCCAGCTCAGCTGTATTTTCATATTGTTCGGTGAGTAATCGACCTTATACTGTAGGAGATAGTGTTAGTTGGTATTTGTGAGGGTTTGAATTGAACTGCACCGTGTACAGGTTGTTCCAATAAGGTGTGTGTTTTCGTGTTTGTCTCGAGCGTTTAATACGTAATAAAGTTTATAAACAAAATAAGTTTGGTTAAGCAAGTTTGGAAACTTAAAAGAAAACAATATTTTTAACTAATTTATTTATTTATCTTTATATCACAAACGTCGCATCCTATAATGTAAGCCCCACAAAACCGTTGCAATGGTTTGACTGTGGGGTCAAGGAGTCTCTAGACATTACAATTAAATGTACTTATAATTAAATATTATATAGATGTTGTAACTTACACTTAGAACTTAATACATTTCCAAATAATATAACTTTAATTTAAGCTTAAAATTAATTGAATAGGGAAGAATAAACGGGATATTTTCTTCCATTTTCAAATTATCATTTATTAATTTCATTGCATACATTAATGGGGCCCACAGTATTTTTGTCCACCAAATGGCGCTAGGGTGAGCCTCTCGTTTTTCGTCCAATAGGAAAATAGCTAGTGTCACTTTATTAGACGTCCAATTTTTGACAGCCTCAGGGATTGGACGAAAATACTTTTTGTAGATTAGCCCCCTCTGGTGAGCAAAAGCAGTACCCTCTACACCTACAAAAACGGTGAATAATTATGTTTTAAAATCATGAATACGATCACAAACAAATTTCCATCTAACTAGATTGCATTTTAAATAGGGTAGTAAAGATATAGAAACATATCATATCCTGGGTAGGGTAGTATCCTGAATTTTATTTTAATGTCCGTCTGGTAGATTGTTTTTAAACATTAGACACGTATTTTTTCTTGTGTTACAAAATTCAATACTTTCTACAAAAAGTATAAGTATTGATTTTAAATATCGTGTTACGTTACGATTTATTACATTTTATAGGGAAGCCTGACGTAACGACCTCCCATTAACTCCGTTTTATCTATACTCGGAATTTTAATTCGATTCCAGATTTGACAATTTCAGTGTTGCAACGTTATGACAAGTACTAAATAGTGACGTTGCGAAATTATTCGATATGGAAATGCAATATTTCTGGATCGATTCTTCTCGTTTATAATTTTACTTGTATATCAGGAAATTAAATACTTCTGAACCGATCATTTAGTTTTGACGATTAATTAACGATCTGAGACTTTTCTTTTATAATTGTGTGAAATAAATAAAAAAATTTAATCATGAAGGAACATGGCAAATAAAACAGATAGATGTATTATGGTAATAAGTTATTTTATAATTTGTCGCCGTCATCGCTATCGCTATCCTGTCACTTTCTGTAACATTTATTATAAAACACACACACCGATTGTTTATCGATTTTTGTGTTCATCACTACACTATTATATGTTAATACACTACATTATTTCGCAAAATGACAGTAGCTATTGTCAAATCTGGAATCTAATTAAAATTCTAACTATAAGTATTGTTTTCTTATACGACAAAATAAAATATTGTGTCTAATGCTTTTTCAATATCTAAATCAATAAATAAATAAATATCCAACTGACAGACTAATTACATTTTTAATTTTCAAACACTGGCTTGGCACCATCTAATGAGCAAAAAAATGGTAGCCGCCATTGAATTTTACGACACGGTAATTTATGATTTATTTTAAACGTAACATGAAAAAAATACTAAAGTATCGAGTAGGTGCGGCGACATAGTTTTAGTCGGTGGGTATGGGTACACATATTGTTCATTAATGTTGCGTGAGTCAATGTGTGTTCTATAATAACAATGAAATTATAGTTCAGCCTGTATCACACGCCTTTACTTACCTACGATTTTTCATCCACATAATAATATGTATACTGCCTCGTTGGCTGATTGGTCGCAAGTGCGACTGCCGGACATGGGGGCTCGGGTTCGATTCCCGGGTCGGGCAAAGTATTACTGGTTTTTAAAACTATTCTCAGTAATAGCACGGAGTCTGAAATTGTACCCGGTATATGGCAATAGGCTCACCCCATATTACATGGAACTCATAAGATAAATAGTGAAAAGTAGGCGTTACATTGTACAGTGGCAAAATGTGCACCTCTGCTTACCCCTACGGGGATAAAAGGCGTGATGTCTAATGACAAAAATTGACACATTGGAGTTTCATGGGGGTTCAAGTGCTGGCTACTATATCTACATAACATAGAACTATCATTTCTCGAAGTAATAGACAGCGAAAGTCTAGAAAATTGATATTCAATTTTCTAGTTCTTGGGATAGAACTGTCAATTCGAACTTTTGAAGTGAGCTCGATCGCGTTCTCGCCCCTCATAGGTCGAGATTATTCTCACAACCAATGACATGGCCAACCGCGTTCGAGTTCACTTCGATATTTTGAGTTGAATGTTACAGAATAGCTTAGCAGCTTCATGTTGGCTTACGCCAATGTTATTTTCTCAAATCTTACAAAATATTAATTCCGTACTAGTTTAAACAAAACTCCTAATTAAAACAACAAAATGTGTCTAAAAGGACATTGCTCTTTTCAAAGGTTGACATATTTAACCAGATATATAGACTCTAAACAGCGGGACTTGCGCCGTGATTTTTGTACAATGACATTTTAGTTAAATTAAATATTATAATTAATGACATGATTTTGTGTTGTCCTGTCTGTATTTATTTTTGTGTATTGTATATTCTTGTATATTGACCTCTGTATTTCATTGTATTGTCATTGTATATTAAATCATATATATAATGTGTACTAACATTAGTTTTTAAGTTCAATGTTACTAACAAGAATATGGACATGGTCTGAAATAAATGATTATTATTATTATTATTATTATAAACAAACTACCACACATTCATTTAACTTCAAAAACCTTTGAAATACTTCTACATTCTATTTTTTGCTTTCTTATACTTCAACAGTTAATTATAATACTCAGCTTTAAATACATGTTGACCTTTACGCTAATTATATTGTGTTTAACATTAAGTAGTTGGGCTCGCTGCCATCGCAGCGGTAAGTCCCCTCTTTGAGGAGTGGCTTGAGAGACGCTACGGCGTCCTCACCTACCGCCTGACGCAGGTCCTCACCGGACATGGAAGTTTCGGGAGGTACCTGTGTCTGATGGGGCGGGAGGAAACGCCCGGGTGTCATCACTGCGAGGGCCGCCCTGAGGACACGGTGGAACACACGGTGGGAGAATGCCCTTCGTGGGCTGAGCACCGCCGTGTCCTCAGGGAAGTGATCGGCGATGGCGACCTCTCGCGTCCGGGCCTAGTGCAGGCCATGATGCGGAGCGAGGGGGATTGGGATGCCGTCTCCTCCTTTTGCGAAGCAGTCATGCTAGCTAAGGAGGAGGCGGGACGCGTGAGGCAGCGAAGCGCTGCCTCCTCGCAACCCAGCCATCGCGAAGGACACACCGGGCGTCGGGGATCGCGGGACGATCTCCGGCCACCGTAAGCGCGGGCCTGCGGACGGCGAGCATGGGTGGCTCCCCGTCCGACCAGAAACAGACCCGAGCGTACGGCGCGTCGCGTTCCGCGCGCGCCTCAAAGAGCCATCAGACCACCACAGATGGGGCCCAATAGGGCCGATGCCGATTCGGAGTCGCGGAGAACCTAACGGGTAACCGGGGCTCCGGCTCGACGTGCAGGAGAAGGAACGGGGTGGTTTTTAGTCAGTAAGAGTCTGACACTCCCTCCCGCCTCACCCAGGCGGGGGCAGTCATTCGATGATTTTCCCCCCTTAAAAAAAAAAAAAAAAAAAAAAAAAAAAAAAATTAAGTAGTAGCTAAATGTTAGGCGTAATAAGTACCTATAGTAAGTCTTGATCAGGCTAATGTTGAGACCAGAAATACTTGACTGCTAATGTGACCAGTGACCGCAATATGTAGCTCACCGTCTATGAAATGGCAAGTCCCTGAACCTCTTTCCAAGCAAAAAGAAAACATCTATTTCAAAACTGTACAACAAAGCAAATAAAACGCAAAAAATATTCATTTCAGCTTATTTTTAGGCGCTACGCAGCTGCGAATGTAATTTGATACCGTTAATACAACAATGGGCGTATATAATTCAGTTATAAAAACACATTGTTTGCCTTCAGATGAACAATAAAGAGAACAGTCATGACCTAATCGCAATTTTGTTTCAAATTCAAACAAACGAAAACCCTTTTATCTCAGTTACAACAGAAATTTCTTTTTCAATAGGCCGACTACATAATGAAATATTTGCGGAATACCCCGGTTAATGTTTAAAAAGTGGAAGAATAAAAAATAACGAGACGTGACGGGAAACAAAGCACGTTTATATTGCTGGAAGGCATCGTACTAATGGAGGCTGGACTTCAGAGGCTGTTAATCCACGGTACACACCTACGCATCCTGACACACGCGTTCATACACGTAAAATAGAGTAGCACTCTGTATAAAATCTTGCCATGAAGTACGGTAACACTACATAGGTATGAGGTCACAGCTCACAGAGCCTCAGACTTTAATGAGCGTGACATGATATCTAGGTATTGTCATCAGGCTGGCAAGTTCTACGTTAATTCAGAGCACTGTGGTTTGGGATGTCACAATACTTTGTATGGTCTAACTTTCAGAAAACAAATTACTTTTACCGCTTCACTCATTCATGTTGTATAGAAAAATATTCAGGTTTTTACCTATTTATGAGTAAGTTTTATACAACTTACATAGGTACACGTGTTTCTTTAACGTTACAAAGTAACAAGTCCGCTTGATGGAGCATTACGATAACACGCAATTCTAAAACTGAGAAAACATTACTTTCTATGCTTACGATATCGTAAAAATAACAAGATTGTTGTATAAAATCCACACAAGTACCTTTGTATGTTAATAGTATGGTACATTGTTAGTTTGAGAGCCGTTTTCCAATTTATAAATATTTGAAAATCCTTTTTTATCAGACTTTTAGATGACCCTTCAATGTAAAG